GCAGTACCACTGCTCTACCCATATGAGCAGCAAAAAGACGTTTTTAGACCAAATGTTACAGATTTGGACAAATACACACAAAAACATCAAAATTAGCACAGAAACAGTACTATATAACATTTTAGACATTATCTAGACAGTTTGTCAGCTAAAAAAAGTTAATTTTGGGGTAAGTTACTCTTTAATATATTCATGTTTATGTGCTGTCCAGAAAAAAAACACTTAAATATTACTAGTAAAATAATATTAGCATATACTTTTTTTGTACAGTAATATTGACATATAATATAATGTGTATTGTTTATTTAATAAATCCTAGCAATTTAGAGATTTTGATATTTTTTGTAAAATTTAAAAGAACAATTAAACAAATGTTACTACACCCAAAAATCCTTTTTTTCAGTGTATGTACCTGGTACATACCAGTTAAGTAAGAGGTACATCTTTTGTATGTACCAGGTAAGCACAAGATATATACTTGGTAACTTCCAGTTACACAGTTGGCATGTACGAGATATGTACCAGGTACTGAGTGATTTGTTTAAAGTAAATTGGAAATGATTCTCAGCTGCTGCAGCATAAGTGATAGCCTGGCCCTTGCCTTCCTACACAGCACCGCTCAATTCTAGTTTCCCTTCACTGCTCCGTCTGGGACTTCTCCCATTGAGATGGATTTCGCTGGCATATTTTTAGCCAATCAGAGAACAGAATGTCAATTTTCTGTGCAGTGTCTGCTTGTAGTTTATTTTACCTGGGCCAATCAGCAAACAGAAGGAGGGGCTTTGAACGATATCAATTTTCTGTGCAGTGTCTGCTTGTAGTTTATTTTACCTGGGCCAATCAGAGAACAGAAGGCGAAGTTTTGAACGACGTCAACTTTCTGCGTAGTGTCTGTTAGTTATTTTAGCATACGGCAGTGGAGGAGGTGAATGAAGCCAGTCCGTGTTGATAAGGCTTCCAAATTAAAATAAATTTGTCTGACAAAGCAGCAGCTCTCATTTAAAGTCGTCTCGTTTGGCTCGGTATATTTCTCCTCTCAGTAGGGTTGTTTACAGCACACATGATTTCCGGTTAGCTTCTTAGCTTAGCCTCCATCACAGCGACATACGTCGCAGCCAACTGATCCAATCATTTTAAACTTCACACCTCCTGCAAGAAATTGATTCTCTATGCATCAAGTCCCGGGGTCTCATTTATAAAGGATTGTGTGGAAACCATACTAAAAGTGAACGTACAGCCAAAAGACGAAAATGGCGTACGCTAAAAAAAAATTCAGATTTATAAAACAGTACATACGCACGTTTCTGCGCATCTTTCCTTTATAAATAACAGCCTCACGTCAGAGTTTGCGCACGAGGTCCCGCCTCAGGTTCTACCCTCTACACGCCCACATTCAACCATAAACAGTCAATGTAAAGTACCTCATGAATGTTAAGATGTATTTAAATCAGTCAGCTGATCAATGCCAACAAAAGTGATTGGTTCAGACACGCTCCGTCGTGCGTCTGGAGGATGACAGGTGCTGACTGACAGCTGCTCACGTGAACAGATTGTCTGTAACTGACACAGATTTTGCCTCATTTTGCTTTAGAGTAATCTAACGATTTTTATAAAAAATAAAAATAAAAAACCCCAGCTTCAAATTAATTTTCCATCAGAGCCTGCAGGAC